AATCTTTCCAGGTATCAAGGTCAGGCTGACCAGTCTAAATTCCCCAGCTCTTCCTCCTTCCCTTTCTTAAAAGACAAGTATTATGTTTGCCCTATTCCAATAATCTGAGACCTCACCCAATCTCCATAAATTAAAGAGGATAGCTAATGGCTCTGAAATTACCACAGCCAACTCTTTCAGCTTTCCACAGATTAAATATTTTAAAGGGACCGAGCCCTTCCAGCTCCTATGTATAGCTAGCAGATAACACCTGGCAAGATCAGTCATATGAAAGGAAAATATCAACTACAAGTCTGATTTAGCTTTAATTTAGATACTGTGCATTTTAGCCTCCTCCAAAAGATAAAGCAGCTAAGGCAATAGCAAAATAAATCACTGGATTTCATTTTGAAGATGGCTACTTGCAGTTAAATAAGCCTGGAATAACATTTTGGAAGAGTGGGATTTTCCAAGACGTAAAAGGACAACAAGCCATTTAATGCCTTTTTAAAAACAGAGTTGTACCCAACACTTTGGAGCCTTTGAAAATCTCTTTAGTGCACTTTTGCATGAATAACTATACTCCTTAACTGTTCTTCAATGTTTAGTCAAGAACCATTTCCCTCTTTCAGTCCAATTTGTCCTTAAGTCTTGTAATACAGTTACTCAGTCTTTATATATAAGACCACTGCTATGCAACTGATATATGTAATTCAAAATAAAAGCCAGTTAACAAGGCCAAAAACAAGTAGTAAGTTCTGTGGCCCCACGTCAGGAAAAGCATCCCTGCTAAATAGGCTGCTGAGTTCTTTCCTGAACAGAAATTTAATTGGGAAAAGTCTTCATGCTTAAAAGTGAACAAACACGAAGTAAACATGCTCAACTCTTAATAGATTAGACAGATCTCTCCAACAGGAATTTTCACTGTACCATTATTTGGTTGTTCAAGTTGTGCAGTTTGTGCCACTAGGTCCTTATTATGCCGCAAAAATAGAATGGTGTTTCTCAGGGTAAGTGCATGATCAAAGTATCTCTGTGCCTCCCCTTCACCAGTGCTTTGAACCTAAACAAAAAAGGATATGAATGCGTTTAGTGAATTGCTTAACTTTTTTTTAAATCATCATCTGAAATTGTCATTAACTTATTAATCTGTAATTTAATTATACAATTGTGCATAATGCTTTCCAACAAAGGGGTTTAAAGCAACCACAGTGAAGGAGTTATCTGGCAAAGCTTGCCAAATACCAAAATATACACACAAAAGCAAACCATAACTAGTTGGGTGAGACTGCCAGACTTCAGCCCTAAAACAGTAATTTGTATTGAAAAGCCTAATGAGTTGACAAATAAAGCCACAGCAATTACAGAGATTTTGCAAGTACAACTTTACAACCATCTTAAAGGACATGTTAGTTTTCCTTATGCCCTATCTACCCTTATCTACCCTAATTGAAAGCCTTATTGTTTATACATTCCAATCTTTAATGGCCATATTTTCAGCACTGTGTGCACAAAGTACATGCTTGTTTTTGAAGACCCAAATTCAGCACAGAGAAGCAAATAACTGCCATTTACTGGGTCAGATGTGTCATACAATTGCAGAGGGCAGACGCTGACCAGGAGAGTGAACAGAGCATGACCAGGGTTTTTTCCCCCATGGTTCCTTTCCCACTTGCAGCCTCCAGCATAAGATCCAGGAAGTTCTGAATCAGACTGCCACCACAAAAAAGTCAATAGCTGTGTGCACATACAGCAAGGGGTTGTTTGCCCATCAGGGATTATGATGGGTCAATCAATGTATTTGCATGTCATCCCTGGCTGACTATACACTTTTGCACATCCATATTAGAGGTTCACCAATACATCAGTCCATATCATATTGGCACAGATAAAAAGAAAAAAAAAATCCACATTATTGGCAATCAGCTTTTTTTGGCTGATGTGCCCAATAAATCACCAATAAATGCCACATGCATGCACGTAGGCGCAGCATGCACAAAGCCAGCATGGCAGCTTAGAGAGCAGCATCCAGCTGGTAAGTCTGTTGGTGGGGAAGGAAAAAATCGAGGCCCCCATAGTGAGGGAGGAGGGGGGCTGGGGCTGCCAACCAGGCGGGACAGGGTGCAGGACAGAACTGTAAGCAGCTTGTCTAGGGACATGAGGGACTCCCACCAGTGTGCACACCCCCAGGGGAGGCATGGGGTGGGGCACGTGCCCCCTGGATCTGTGAATGAGGCGAGCACAGGCTGCCACTGTGGCCTGGGCCAGGGCTGTGTTTAAGGCAGGCAGCAGCAGTGCTGGGAGGGGTACAACAGGGGGCTACATCAAATTCTGGAGACCTCTATCTGCACCCCCAAGCCTCCCTCCTCCTCCCCCCCAAAGAGACTTACCAGCCAGACGCTGCTCTCCACACTGCCAGGCTGCATATCAGCAACCAAACTCGTTCTGGCCGATACGGCTCGTTAACAAGTCAGCCATTGGTATCGGCCCAAAAAATCTTTAATTGGTGCACTCCTAATACATACCCAATAACTTGGCCCTAAAAAAAAAGTCGCTACTGACAAACACCTAGAATACACACTACTCTAATGGGCAAACTACACAAGTCAAGTATGCTCAGGGATCCATAAGAATGGGCTCCTAAATAAAATATCAGGCTGCATCCAGATGAAAGCAGACTTTTGGTTCTCTGGGGTGCCACTGCTACTTGTCCCCAGGGGATATCTGTGCCACATGCAACCTGGCGCATAGCAGGTTACTCCAGGTGGGGTAGGGGAAGCTAGGACCAGCAACTGTGCTGGCCCCAGCAGCCTTACCTGGGGTCCTGGGGGCTGGGGAAGCTGAAGCTGCAGCACTGCCACAGTTGGGAGCATGGCTGACAGCTGGAGTGTGGCTCCAGCTGGCCAGGCTCCAGTTTTGGGAGGCATGCACTGTTGCCATATGTACCACCCCACTTTTTCTCTGTGCGGTTTTCTTAACCCCGGGATACCCTGGAGTTTAAAAAACCAAACTCCACGCTGTGAAGTAGCAGCACAGCACCACATACCACACAGCCGTGTTTGTCTGGATGGGTCACAATCAATGTATTTGGCCTCTTTGGCCTCAGAGGCTAAAATACATTTTCAAATACCAATAGGAAAAAAAATAAAAGGGTTAAAACGTTGAAAAAAAGCTTTTGACTCCACATCCAAAGCAAGTTACCTTTTCAAGTTCCACAAGAAAACTGTCCAGAGACTCATCTGATAATTTTCCAACTTCAAACATGGTGACTGCATGACTTTTCAAGTTCTGTAGCAATAAAATCCACGTAAAGTTAAAATAATTAACTTAGAGGAAAAAAGGAGAGAGCAAGAGATCTAATATATATTTCTGTTACATTAGCAACAGACCTCAAGCATCTGAACAAACAAAAGATCAAACAAGTACAGAAAAATCTAAAATACAGTAGCATTACACTAAAGCCATAAAACATTAGTCTTAGCATGGATAAAAGAGAACAACTTCACATACTGGTGAAAGATTCCCCATCATCAAAAAGGCAGTGAGTGTTGAATCGAACAGGAAGGCAATACGCTTTGTGTGTCCACTGGACAGACTCAAGCTGCTCAGGCTGGCTGTGTCAGCTAATAAAGTAAAGAGAGAAAAGTTATTTTGTTCATTTTATTTCATAATAAATTTCCTTTAAGCAAGTCCTAAAAATCACAGAAATAGTGTAGTTTTTTCACTATATGTATAGCTCTAAATATTATATACACTTCCTCGTTGTTACTAAGACACTATATATCATTTTAATTCCAAAATTAAAAGTGGTCAACTTAACACTTCATTAGTCACATCTACTACCATTCATAGTGCAGACTGATTAAAATAGTAACTCTGGGGGAAATAAGGCAGGGAGACTGGAAAAAAAAAAAAAAAAAAATCGAAAAGGAAAGCCAGGGTATCCAATAACAATTGCTCTAGGCTTCTCTGTCCCCCACCCACTCAGCTATAAAAACCTCCAGAATATAGAGGATCTCTGACAACCTCATGACATGCTACAAGCATTAACTAATTGATCCTACTGCATTATATTCACCATCAGTGCTAACCTGGATCATCTTGACTGTTGGTGTCAGTATCTGTAGCTGATGACCCAGCTTCCTGTATAGGACTCCTGTTTTCCCCACTGTCCCATGAAAGCAGCATCTTTTGTGGCTCCAAAGTACTCCTATTAAATGTGAATTAAAGTCCAAATCTATTGTCACTGTTGCACCATGGAAACAGCTCTGCCAGCTAATCCCATAGTACTCCTTGAGCACTTAGTGACAAATGGTGAAAACCACTGCAGTTCCTATCACAGCTGGTTCAAGCGTTTCAGTGTTCTTGTAAATGGCAAAATGTAGGGAAAGGATCAAACAAGTACCGACTGCTCCCCTACGCTAGAGCTGGCTAGAAGATCAGCGTTTTCCATTCAAATTCAAATTACTTTTTTGTAGATGTGTGAACCTGAGTTTCAGTCTGAAGATTTCTAAATGAACAAGACGCTACCGAAACCACACTGCTGGTCTCATTACTCTTCCTGTCAGTTCCAGTGGTAGTAACACCAACTTCAGTGAATAAGAGCAGGTATTCCTAGGGTCCCAGCCCCACCTGGGAGGTGCATCCTGTAGTCACCATGGTTATTAGCAACCACAGCCCTGCAACATGCCTGGATTTGGCAAAGGCTGATCAGACCCAAGATAATTTTAAACTAAACTCTTTGGGCTCCTACACACATGTGCAGGGAGCCTGCTCCAACACACTGAAAACTTGATTAATCATGAATGACAGAGTCTGCTGGAGCATGGAAATTAACATGCTCCAGCAGACTCTAGCATCACGTGCATCAGTATTCCTGCGCTGAAAAATGGCTGCAAGGCACTTTGAACTAAAAGCTCATCAAATGAGCTTTTAGTTCAAAGTGCCCTGTCACCATTTTTCAGTGCAGGGACATTGATACACGTAATGCTCAGGCACTTTTACTTAGCCCAGCTCACTAATCAAAGTGCCCCCCCCCCCCCGAGAACATGTCAAAATGCCCTTCAGGTTTAAAAAATATGATAAAACTATAAACAAAAAAATAATAATAAAAACCTGTTTTACTGGGTTATTTCTGACTAGTTCTAATCTGCATTGCCCACTTGGTGGCTACAAGATAGTTCAAACAGGTGTTTTTTTTTTGTTTTGCTTTTTGGGTTTTTTTTTTTTTTTTTTTTTTAGAGAAAAAAGTTACCAAAAGCTAAACTCAACATGCCCCCGTGAGGCGCAAGTAATGCAAGCTATCCTCAGCAACCCAAAGAAGCACATCACTGACTAGGAACACTGCCACTTAGGATTCAGTTCATAAATTCAAGCTGTTCAGTAAAAAAAAACTGCTATGCCTATAAAGAACTGCAATGCCCAGTCACAAATCCACAAAGGACAATGACAGCAGTATTAAAAGGTGCTGCTGCTGTACTAGTATGGTAACAGCTATGCCTAGTTAACACATAGGCCTGCACAGGAAATAATTTAAAGTTCCTGAAGAGTGAGTTCAAAATACAGTAGTTACAAACTGACAGCCATATATTTTGAAGTGGGATGCATTTACATAAAACAAAATGCCAAACACCAAATAGTGCTATTTACATATGTAGATTTTTTATCAGATTAGGTCATCACAATTAATCTTCACGTATACCACTGAAAAGTATGCACGATTTTTTATCACTGAATATAGTTAAGAAAAATATTACCTGCCTACATTATTACCAACAACAGGAAGGAAGGACACAGTACCAGAACTATATTTGGAATTTAGGAGCTCTCCCCCTAGCTCTTTATTCCATAATCAAGAGAACAGACTTCTGAGGATACTCATGGGACAAGACGAGATACTTACTTCAGTCTATTTATAGAGGGAACATTCCTCCAAGAGGGATGAAGATTGTCTAGATTTATTACTTGGCCTTTCTTGTGGGCAAAACCCAATCGACAGTACATGGACACAGCATTCTAAAGAAACAGAAGCGTAAGAGAGATGGATTTAAACCAGTGGTCTCCAACCTTTTTAAAGTAGGAGAGCACCTTTGGCATTTAAAAGCAACCCAAGATCTACTGTGCGCCGTTCACCACCACCCCTGCCCGACAGATACGTTTGGAGTAAGGGTGGAGGGGGGTTAGGACAGCTCAAGGCAGAGGGAAAAAATTATTTGGGGGCACACCTCCCCACCTGGCTCAGGCCCCACTCAACTTACCCCTGCAGCACTGTCCCTCACCGTGGGGGCCTCAATCTAGCCCCCACTCCTTCCCTCCCCCACAGACTGACCTGCTGGGCTAGGCCATGTGCATGCATGCATGCACGCACATGGGAACTCAGCCTCCCACCCCAGCCTTGGATCAACTCCAGGAGACTCCAAGAACTACCGGTGGATCGAGATCCACTGCTTGATGACCACTGATTTAAGCTATTACGTTTCTTAATAGATTTTCAACATTCACTTATGAAGTCACATCCAAAAACAAAACAAAAACAACTGAAAGGTTTCACTTTGGGCAATGGAGTATTCAGACATACCTTTACCAGTGATAGGTCAATCTCTAGGACATTTGCAAGCTGAAGAACAGACAAAAAATTGTTAATACCCATTTCCAAAACTCACTGCCCCTCTTTAAACACGCTTTTTCTAGCTCAAGTTGCTAAATCAGAGAACACTGTATAAGTGGTTAAGGGAAAGAAGGAGCAATTCTGAAACCTCAATCCAATACTCCCTTCTTGAAGTAACAGAAGAATGTTCCATGCATCCCTTCAGCTACAGTCACTTACACTCAAAAGGCTACATAGAAAAAGAAATCCAATACAATTGTTCCAACTATTTAAGTATTTCACATGTCCAATAGACAGGTTTAATTACAAAAGGCCTTTATTAGTCAGTCTACAAAAAACAGTTACTTATCAGTAACTGAAGTTCTTTGAGATGTAATGCCTATATGCAGAGTCTCACTTGTGTGTACATCTCATACTCTGCACTTCAACAGAAAAGTTTTACCCTTAGCAGTGTCCATACAGTGCACTCTAACCCTCTTCTCGAATCCCCACAGTGAGGAGATTAAGAACAGTGTATGCTATCTGCTCCTTAGTTCCCCCTCAGAGTTGTATATGCAGGAGTCTGAGAATGAAGGGGGAAAGGCAGGATTCAAATGTGTATAGAATTACTACTAGGTAACTTCTTTTTCTCCTTTGAGTAATTGCGCACATCCACTTTGCCACTTGTAGGGGACACCACAGCAGTGGCTCTGAGTCTCCCAGGCAGTGAGTGCTTTGGAGGGACGCTGTGCCAAGTGCACCCATAGAGGCTTATACACTGGCATCATTTTTCAGGAAGGTATGAAAAAAACAACAGTAGCTTCCCATATCAATTATGGTACCATTACACAGGAATGCTATGGAAGTAGCCTAGGCTCTGGAAGAATGCATCCTTATTACTGATGACAGCTCCATCCCGGCAAATCTTGTAACACAGCTTTGTACAGCCCAAGATCCATGTAGATAACCCCTGAATTGATGCTGTGCTGGGATCTCCCTGCTGCACACAGATGGGTGAGGCGACTTCCTGAACAGTTTAGTTTTGTGAAGGTAACTGGCCAGTGCTCTCTTCACATCCAGTGAATGCAGCAAAGCCACTTCATGGGAGGAGTGAGGTTCTGGGAAGAACATTTGCAGGCTAATCTGCTGTTCCAGGATAAAGTCCAAGACAAAAATCAGGCAGGCATCTGTGATGAGTCCTCGGAAATACTTTAATCTGAGTGAAAGGTAAGGAAGGTGCATGTGGGGGTGGAAATCTGCTGTGAATACCTGGATCTCACTCACTCTGCTGATGTACTTGCTACCAGGAATGCCATTTTTACAGAAGGGTGTAGAAAACAGCTCAAACTACCCTGGATATCTTCAAAAAACACCTGGACGCTCACCTTGCTGAGGTCATCTAACCCCAACAGTCTTTCCTACCCAAGCACAGGGGGGGCAGGACCTGATGATCTTGAGAGGTCCCTTCTAGCCCCTGACATCAAAGCTCTCCTCATAATGCAAGGAAGAGATTCAAGACCCGCTGCAGGGATTGAGGGAGAGACCCTAGACAGGCCCTTGAGGAATCTGATGGCTTCTGGGTGGGAAAATACAGGCTTTTCCTTGACAAGAAGGTGGGGGGCAGAGACTGCTGACAGATGGACCTTAAATAAGCTAATGGACAGTGCCAATGGAAAGGTCTTTGCTCTTTGGACTCAAAGTGTAATCTTGTGTCTCTGGAATGGCAGACCTGCTAGCTCAGTATTTCTTGACTGGCATAATGAAGGAAATGTGGTCCATTTTGCAGGTACACATACATGATTAAGTCCTTGCAACTATGAACAATCATCTCTGATCTGGGTGAAACACTCTTACTTTGAGTGTAGCAGCACCCAAGCTGTAAAATGGAGGGAAAGAAGGTGCAATGGAGAGCCTTCCCTTCTCTCTACATTCACAGGTCTGAAATCACCAAGGCTGCAAAGAAACATGGACATTGTGCCCCCAAAGAAATGTTTATGGGGGCACAAAAGTCAAGTGAACAGCTTTTTGTTCCACCACAAGCGCTTACATTTTGCAGTGCCAAAAGATAGTAACAATTTGTGCCACCTTTTTACAGCTGATGTCTGTTCACTTTTGGCAGGAGACTGTAGGCTGCCACTGGCAACTCACAATCTCCCACTGCCCCAGACAAACTTGCTTGGCCTCATGGGCTCAATCCTGGGGGAAAAGGACCCTGGATGTCCCACACTGACATACTTGCTAGTGAGGAAGCCCCCAGTTGCAGATGCAGACCCAAGTCACAGCATGGAGGAATCCCCCAAGCAGGGAGGGAAAAAAAATGCACTGACCCTAGTGTGCCTACCATGCTACCACTCCCAGGGTCATGGGCCACAAGCAAGCAGAGGTGGGAACCCCTGGGGGAGCTCCCCATTTCATGCTTTACAGACTGTGCAAGGGGAATCATTCAACCACACACAGGTCTGCAAGTGCAGAGGGCTTCCTCCTGGACCTGCACACCATGGTGAGGGAATCATTCTCCTTGCACAGGTCTGCAAGCGCACAGTGCAGAGCTCCCCAACAAGCTTCCTCCTCCCCTTGCACATACCTCCCAATCCAGGGGAGGCAGCATGATAGGCACGCTGGTGCACTTTTCTCACTATCATCCATAGGCTGGGGTTCCACTTCCAAGCAGAGGGGAGCTTCCCCTCCCACTCCACACTTTAATCCCCTGTTGAGGGATTCCCCCATGCCCCAACATGACAGCATATCTGCAAGCAGGGGTTTCCCACTTGTAGACCTGTAACCCAAGTTGAGGTAGTGCACCTGGGCTATCTTCTCCCAGGATCAGGTCCCTGAAGCCCTGGGAGGGGCAAGGCACCAACCCTGGGGGACAAAAACCCCAGCAACATCTGTTAAAATATCCACAAAGCAATCAGCTGTGCTGCAACATATCACAGCACAGCTGATCACATTCCAAAGAAGACATATGCTTCCAGCTCAAGAGGAATAAGAGATCAAGATGGCTAACACCAGTTTTGGTATACCAGCAGAATGAGTATTAACACAGTCCAGTGCTGAATCACCTTGCAGAGGACTGATGGGATCAGAGCAGGGGTAGGATTGGGGATGCATACAAAAGACTCCTTAACCCCCATATCATGAATGCATCTAAGAGGAAAAACTGGGCTGAGCCCTCCCGTTAAGGGAAATCATGCACAATCCATAGACCTTTTACAAATTAGGTCAACAATGTCAGGTGACCCAATTCTGTAAATATGGAGTATTGAGCTCTTGATTTCCTCTTCATGATGTAGGGGACGTCACTCTACTTAGGCAAGTGTACTGCTGACAGGTGTACCTAGTGCTCTGTGCCAACTGAAGTCCACGACATGAGACGTGCCCACAAATGGGACTGTGTACGTGTACAATTACTCATAGGAAAAATGCACTTTTTGGTCTCGGGTGCAGTTCAGCTTTATGAAGTAACCATGTAGATGTGACTCCCTTACAAAATCTGCTCCATGTGCTTTCACTGTCCGTGACAAAAATAAGAATGTAATAATCGTTACACATGTTCACAAAACAAAACTAATCCAGTTGGAAGAACAATTTGGCTCTCAAAAATCAGAGAAAAGTAACAATGCTTCCCCTCCCCACACCTCACTTCTCAGAGTGGAAAGCCACCTGTAAGTAGAGACAAAAGTAATCAAGCAGACAATAGTCTACATATTAAACATATACAATACAGCTAAATATCATTGCTGTGGTTTCTTACATCCTGCCCCTAGCGCTTAGTTTTGCTACAGAAGTTAATAGTTGTGTCACAATTATAGCTTAAGCCACTAGCAAATTTCAGAGACTACCAAAAAACATTTCAAGCCTCTTCTCATACCTCTCACCCAAATTAAGAAATACCTTCAACCATAGCTTAAAATATTTCACAAGCCTTCCCAACAAATCTTCCCCATCCTCTGAAGCACAGGCACCCAAGAATTACTTACCTCTGCCACATTGGTATGTTCATCTATTGAAACAAATATTTTGTACAGTAGAGTTTCAAAGTAATCACCTTGCACTCTGTTCATTACAAATCCTTCCAGTGGGGGGACTGAAAAAGAAATATTTGTAATGCTATGGTTTTCACAGCTTAAAACCTTGATTAATTTTAAAAATCTTTCAACTAAACTTTGTTGCAGGCCATACTATGTGATGATTTACAACTTTTCCCACTGAGCTTAAAATTAATTAATTTTCTTTAGTGCCTCTTTAAAGCTAAGCACTTCCTGAAACTTCACACTTACAAATCTATAAATGAGCTATGCAATACGTAAGTTCACAATTTCCCCCAGTATCTAGTTTTTTCCATGGATACATTTTCCCTACATGAGCTAAAAATGTCTGTAAGACCTCCCCATATCATCTTGTACAGTCACTAACCCATCCACCTGTAAAAGAAGCCTCCCTAAATACCTGAGACTGGTTTTGTAGTCTGGCTATTAATAAATCATCTGGGCTTGATAGAAAAGGAGGACATGAATTCTAGAGCTGATGAGCCCTCACAGAAAATGTCTGACCAATAACTCTTTTGTATCAAGGTTGTTCCTTGCTTAACTAAGCTCAGTTGGGACAGCAAGAGAGAGGCTTTCAGGTAACCAAGTCCCAATCCACTTAGGACTGTAAAAATTAAACCATGACTTTGAACTCCAATGAGACCCATAGGAGTTGAATCAGGTCCCAGGTGGATCCGATTTAAATCAAATCAATTTAAATCACTGATCGGGAAGCCTCAATTTAATCATTGTTTTCAATAAAAAGTACATTTTTGTTGTTTGATATCCTCTATTCATTTAACTTTTTGAAACTTTGCACTTTCAGAGAAGGGTAAAGGCTTGACTCTGTGTACACAAACTTGCAGAGACAACAGGGCTGATGGGTAGGTAATCAAGTCTTATCTCTCATCTCCATATGCTGCTGTTAACAAGGATGTTATCTCTGGAGACACAAATCCACAGTTTGAGAACTGAAACTAAGCATCCAGAGATGCTTAATGGGATCTTCTAGAGTGAGCACTGAATCCCATTGGGCAGAGTGGTCTTCTTTAATCTTTACAGATCTATAGAGGAGCCTCTGGGAACCCCATAAGATTGGGCCCCTAATATAGTCCATGGCCTGTTGTGACCTATTTTATAAAAACCTTTTCTAAAAAGGTTACATGAATATATTGTCTCAAATAGCGTATAGTTAGAAGTTATAATTCCTATTCCATAATGATATCTTTGAGCTTTAACATATCTTAAATTAAAACCATCTTTACATAGTTTTTTTTCAAAGCATCTTAACAAAAGATATAAAAATACAATTAAATAAAAAAAAAATCTTTAAAAAATTAAAGAGCGTTTTTTAATCAATCATTGATTTTTATCCACCCTGATCAGGTCTCCAAGTATCAGCCACACCTGTTTGTGACTTCACTTATCCAGCGGGCAGACACACATTCTGGGCTAACCAAATTGTTCCAACATGCAAGTGACTGCACTCTAGGCTCCAGTCAAGAGACATGAATAAAAGTGTTACAAGCCTCAACTGAAAAAAAACTCATGCTTTTGGCTGAGCTTCTAAATTTAGTTACTGGAGACACAAAAACAATGACATTTGTTTAAATTATGCTTTAAACAATGGTTTCACGTCTACGTACATTTAAAGCAACTACGACTTTAGATATGTACAAACATAAATACAGGGCTAATGTTGAAAAGGGCTAATGTTAGCATGAGGAAATACATTTTTCAGACAGCTGCTATAACCATATTACAAGATCAAGAGGTGCTTAAGTCAGTCATTTTCATGCAAACACACAAGCAGCACCCAAGACAAGGGAACATCATACAGGTATCAAACTGATCTCCAAAAAACATAAGGATGATTACTAAGATATATACTCACCAGCTATACAACTGTCATCAGATATTGGTACGTCAAGGTAAATAAATCCTTTGTTATACAAGCCTTTAGAAAGAAAAATCATGTCAGATTTACCCAAAGTAATAGCAATACTACTACAGGCAAGGGTTGTTTTTTTTTTTTTGGATGGTGTCTTCTATTACACCAACTGCATAGTTAGGGGGGAGATTTTAGATAAGCTTTCGAGCACGAGGTACCCTCCCCTCAGGTCATCTTCCACCCAAAAACCATTAAGAATCTTTTTATGCAGTTTGCCCAATATATATATTTTATTTTTTATTGGACAAACTGCGTAGAAAGATTCTTAAAATGGTTTTCGGGTGGAAGATGATCTGAGAGAAGAGCACCTTGTGCTGGAAACCTCATTTCCCCCCAGCTGTGCAGCTGGAGAGAGAAATGTATATATCACACCCCAAAAAAATCCTTGCCTCTTCTATATGTCCTAGACCATCTGGATCATAACTACAATTTAACACCAACACTACCACTACTAGAGGCTACATTTTTTTCATCATTCTCCTGCTATACCTGGACCAGAATATTAAGTAAAACAGTATCCAGACATTACATTAAAAAAAAAAAACCACCCCTAGATTTTGTCCTTGCACTACAAAGATAATGTAATTTAACCCAAAGGTCTACATTCACTTCAAAGACAACAGGGGCTGGGAAGTTAACAGGGTGTGAGAGGGTAATCAAACGGATGCAGCCATGTTTACTGCAGCAGAAAAAGAGAGAATTGTCTACATTGCACTATTAACCAAAACACTTACACAAGTTAAAGCCTTCACACCCAGCACTGCCCACACAAAGAAATCTAACCCATGGTTTGAGGTACTTTACACCTGGACTAGTTCAGCCAGCTGGAGATGTGGGTTAGAACTAGGTTACCTGCCCACATTATAATGAGTATACAGGCTAAAAATTACTCAAAAGCCGAGACTCCTCCAAAGGCTTTCCCACAGGATGGGCAAGCTCTTCTGCAACTGACTGTAAAAGAATCCCAGCGCACCTTGCACAAAGATGCACAAGTGTGCCTCGGATACAAATAGGCAAGCACAGAAACACAGGACATAAAATGGATAGGCCTTTGTAGTAGGAATGCTCACACCTAGGCTAACCTAACCTGCCTCAGATCCTGATATCATGCAGGTTAAGTGTACAACATAGACGAAGCTAAAGGAGCAGGAAGTTGAAGGACAAGAACCAGAGAAAACATGTTTCAGCATAACTTCCTAAGAGTCTGTAACCTCTGTGCAAACTATATCCTGACCTAATAAAACACAAACCTTGATGACCCAGTATATTGTGTCCGACTCATGATTTCTCTGACCTTAGACCAGACAGCTCATATTTCAAATGCAGCATAGCAAAGAAGAATACTTCAGCATGCAATTTTAAAGGAATTATTTAAGTGCTTAGTCTCGAGTCAAAGTGTTTTATTCCGCCAAGGATATGGCCTCACAGGAGGGCAATGCCCTCCAATCATTTTATTACTTTTTTTGGCATTAAAGTTATGATAAACAGTAATGTTTTTTCACCAGTAAGAAGCCAAGCCAACAGCCTGCCAAGCATACAAGCTTGTTTCCACCATTTTATACTGCAGGAGTTTGAGCTGCAGCTGCACATATTTTAGTAATATGGGTTTAATAATGGACTTTGGACTGGACTCATGGTTTATGTATGTTAGGAACTGCACTGCCTTCTAAAAATGAGATACACACAGTACACTATGGGCAATATACTACCAAGCCTGCACAGCATAGACAGCAACACATACCCAGACAGGCTGTTAAGCACATGTAGTCCAAGAGAGCCTGTTGTCACAGGCCAGGATGACACATGGCAAGCTGACAGCCCACTGTGGGGTGCTTTTTACTGCTGCTTTCTTCAGGTGCAGTGTTCAGAGCTGGTGCAGTCTCTCATTGCTATGCATGACAGCATACACGCACATCAGATTTTGGGCCAGCCAGCCCCCTTTTCCCACAAATTTCCATCCCACTTGTGATCCACTGCATTAACTGTCCACATCTTTTTTTCTTCCCTCGCGTCAAACAAGATCCCCATGCAAACCAAGACTATTGCATACTGAGCTTGCACCTCTCTCCCCTCAGACACATTTAGCCTGTAACTCTATATTCATGAAGAGTCAACATTAAGAGTGCACTAATAAAGATTTTCTTGGCTAGTACCGATAGCCAGTCATATCGGCCAATACTGATGTGATAACTGATTTACAGGAATGCAGCTGGGCAGCATGGAGGGCAGCATCCTGCAGGTAAGTCTGTGGGGGTGGCAGATTGGTGAGGGAGGGAGCAGGGCAGGAGGCACTGCCCAGTCAGGGGGGTGAACTGGACCCAGGGCCAGGGTGGGGAGCAGGAAAGATCATCCTGGTGGATCAGCATCTTGGTGCTTAAAAACAGTGGCAGGGGCACTTGAACTAAAGTTCATTCAATGAGCTTTAGTTTAAAGTGCCGCCGCCACCATTTTTAAACACAGGGATGCTTTTAACCGAAGCAGAGCTGAATGGGGCTAGAGCACATGTGGGCTCTCTGCTCTGCTGCTTTTGCTCCAGGAGCAGTGCAGCAGCTACACACCCCCTGCCCACCAAGTGGGGGGCAAAGCTTGCCACCCCCACTGCTGACAGGCAGGCAAGAAGAGCACACCTGGCATGGGGCCCCTGGGGCAAAGGTAGCAAAGCAGAGAGCCCCAAGCCTACAGCAAGCAGCCGGCATCTTTCCTCGTGCACAAATAAGGAGGCGCGCATACCCTCCCAGGCCTTCCCCAGGGGGTGCATGCAGCAGCAGGGAGCCACTCCCCCCATGCCCCCGGATGAGCCGCCCGCAGCTCCATCCCACTCCCCACCCTGGCCCCAGGTCCCACTCACCAGCCAGGCTGGGCAGTGCCACCAGCCCCTGCCCCACTCCCTCCCTCACCACGTGGGCCTCAATCTGTGTCCCCTCCCCTCCACAGACTTACCTGCAGGGAGCTGATCTCCATGCTGCCCAGCTGCACTCCTGGCCACATGCATGCATGCAGCCGCACACATGCACGTGGTGTCCAAGAGCCCAGCCAGAATTAATTGTATTTAAATTGGTGAACATTATTGGCTACATCAGCCAAAAAAAGCCAATAAAGTAAGTTTCCCTTTTACCGGTACCAAACCAATATGCAACCAATATACCAGTGCACCTCTAGTCAACGTCAAGTAAGTTCAGTTAGTTTTAAGCGCTCCCTTATGGAGGGCCTAAAATTACTCTCACTCCTCCTAGAGCTTTTGTTCTATTCAATTTAGTAAATGCTGAATATCCTCCTACATTTATTTGATGCACATTGATGTCAGCCTGCTTCACATGCAAACTGGTTTACCACCTGCACCAATTTCATCAATATTTTAGCTCAAATCTTAACAGAAGAGTTTGTTAGTCATCTTGTGTTCCCCTCTGCTTCCATGAGATCTCGAACTTTTCCTGGCTAAGACCCACCTACCTGTGAGTTTTACTGATATCAGTATCTGCAGGAGCACCCAACTGTACCATTTCAATAGCAAAAAGTGATAGTTAAACAAAATATACATTGCTAAGGGGATCAACAATATTCTTTTCATGAAATCTATCGTTTATAAACCTAATTATAAAACAGTTGTCTATAATTAATTTAAAATGCATCTTCCCGAGCTTAACCTGCTTTATTTCCTATTCTTTTCCGCAACTTTTATGCATAAATAATGCTCTAACACTCTGTATTCCTTTTACTCTAGCTTTGAGGTATTGAAAGGAAAACCCAAAGACTAGTATATTCTACAACAAGCATAATGCATATATAAATACTTACTGTGAACTATATTGTAGTCTAGTAAACCAGCAAGCTGAGGCCCTGAGTCAATGATCTTATCAATAGCAGACTTCTCAGTTGTAGTACAGATCTATGTAAAAGAAAAGAAAGTGAAATTCAAGCGTCTGTCTGGGCGTTCACATTCAGTCACTCCACGTTTTTTCAGCTTTAAATTGGTGAATAATAATATGTAACATTTTCCAAAAAAGAAAGCCCAAAACCCCTTGTTTTGCATGGGGTTTCTTAAGAAATGCCCCAAAACCCTAAAAAAAGTATAAAGACAGACACTGATTTAAGTTTAGCATATTTTTTCTAATTCTTGGTGGTATCGCCATCACAAAATTAGGCATATACAATTCTAGAAACAGTACTTAGCTCACTGAATGCCTATAATTCAACAAGTAAGGTTTGTGTTAAAATAAGTGTTGTTTATGAATGCTTGGTAACAGCCATCCAGGTGCGGTAATTCTAAAAATAGTTCAAATTTAGAAGATATAGATTATTTTAGGGTCATGGAAACATAGATCAGCACCCAACATGCTCTAGACCACTGTTCAAATAAAACTGAGCTCCTAATCTATAATATTTCCCTGCACTCTTAATGCTTACAAGGGTTAAATCAATTTAGCACACAAATGGTATTAAGGTTACCTTAATGTCATCTTCTGTGATGTAACCAGCTTGCACCACCCACCAAGCCTCTATAGCAATCTCCACTGGCTTTACTGGTAGCAGATCACGAGCAGTTTTCCTTCTGAAAAATTTCTGCAGTGGTACAGTCCATTTGAGATTGTACACATTAACATCTCTAGTAGTAACCAGAAGCAAATACCAGTTCCTTTTATACCATAAAAACCTTATGTTTATGAAAGCTTATTTTCCACGTATTTCATACTCAAGCATTACCCAATGCTATATACTAAATTTTTACCCGTACTCTCATAAAAATCATTGAATGCACATAGTAATATAATCTTTAATATACACAGAGCGCACTCTTCCCTCCTCCCTCAAAATACGTTCAAAACAGGAAAATAAAAAGCAACAGTTACTGTTAAACCTTGATGGAAATCTAAAGTTTCAATAATAAACACATTTCTACTTAACCATGTCAACAATTAAGTCCAGGCTTAAACCACTGAGATTGGATTAGTGTTCTATTATTTTCTCTACATGGCAAGAGATTAAGAAATAACTAAATAGTATACATTAAATAAAATGTTTTTGTAAGAATTTTTTTTTTTTAATTACTAGGCAATGCACTTTAAAAAATGTAGCCCATTTATTTTAATATGGAACATCTATACTGTATTCTCAATAGTCTATGTTGTATTCTCAAGGATGCTCTGAAGCAACTATAAACTTCAGTTCATGAAAAGACAGCTAGAGGGTACTGTTGTATTACTTTTATTCTTCTTGCTCTGTACAGTATACCCATAAACTTTCTGATCCATTCAATCTACACTAAATCTCAGGATCTGGGGGAACATTTGTTCACCAGAGCGCCTCAAGGGATGACAAGGTCGAACAGTTATAAACCCCTCCAAGACAGTTTCAGGCTGGACATAAGGAAGAACTTCTTTACTGTCCGAGCCGCTAAGGTCTGGAATAGCCTGCCATCAGAGGCGGTTCAAGCACCTACTCTGAACACCTTCAAAAGAAATTTGGATGCTTATCTTGCTGGGATCCAATGACCCCAGCTGACTTCCTGCCCCTGGGGCAGAAGGCTGGACTCAATGATCATCCGAGGTCCCTTCCAGCCCTAATGTCTACAAAATCTTTGAACAAAATCCAGCACACAAAAGTATAAAGTGGTTATGCTAACCCAATGAGAAAGCACCAACGGATTACTTACTAGTCTCAAAAAAGAAACTATTGTTGCAACCTCAGCTCCAAAAAAAAAAAAAAGTGTCTAATGAAGTAATCATGTAGACACCAATCACAAGTTTTTCACCAAGACTACACGCATAAAAAGGCTGACCCACAGTACAAGAGTCTTAAATGCCAATAGAATTAATGTTAACTACTTGATTATAACTTTTTGGGGGAAGTTCAATTATACTAGTATTTATCTGACATAATTCACAGAAGCCAATGGAATTAGTCCAGATTCATGAGAGTCTGAAAAGAGTTTAATTCTTCTCTTAGTAACTGGATAGAAAGCTTTTGACAAATTGTAGCACTGAACAGTAGTAATTATAAAAGTAGGGCATAAAGAAGGAGAAATTATTTTTGTATGGCTTTTTCTTTCAACTACAAGCAAAGCATATTCTATTTTAATAGATTCAAAAGAAACAGATTACTAAATTACTAAAATACTGCATTACATCCGATTAACCAGATTTTTAGACTAGAGGCACTCTCATCCCAGTCTTAAAACCCTCATCTAAAACAGCTTTTTAAAGTCAAGAGCAGGAATGAAGAGGCAGGAATACAAGGAAGAGGAAATCAAGACAAACTTACTTTTGATGACCTACACTGGTTCATTAGGTCAATGTACTGGTTTCTTCCTATGCCAAGTAGCCTTAGACCTGAAAAGTAAATATTGTTTGAGTTCCCTTTGGAAAAGTGCAAGCTGAAGATGTGAGAGCCCACTCCTTTAACTTTTAGTAGTTCTGAGTCTCTCAGGATTGTTTTCAATAGTTTATTTTTTCTAATTAGGAAGACTATTAAGTGGCAAATGGAGCTCTTACTGATTTTAATAAGACCCATGTCTGTCCAAAAGCAGAACTTGATTCCAGTCATTTCCTCTGCATGGATTAAGTAAACATTTAAGTTAGCACTTCATAAAATAAACACGGAGGCAGTATCCAGATGAGCACAGATGCGTGGTATGTGGCCCCGCAGACCCATCTGCAGCAACACGCACTGTACATGCAGGTGTTTCCCGCACTGCTACTTTGCAGCACCGTGGGTCAAAAAAACCCAGGCTGAAAAAAAGCAGAGTGGCATACGTGGCAGCAGTGCACGCCACCCAAAACTGGAGCCTTGCCAGCCAGGCTTCCTGCCATAGCTGCAACCCAGGGAGGCTCCCATGTAAGGCTGCCAAGGCAAGAACAGTTGCTGGCCCCCACCTCCCCAACCCCACCAAGGTAACCTACCACACGCCAGAGCACTGATGGCACAGCTGCTACTTGTCCCCAGAGAAACAAACACCTGTGCTCATCTGGACACGCCCAGAGGGGCCAAAAGGTCCCCAAGCAATTCTATTAGGCTTTACAGTCAACTGATAGCAATAAACTATGCCAGTACTAAACACTAGTCATGCGTTTCTTTTTAAGAAAAGCTAGAAGTCTGGACATTAACAAAACACAACCACAAAAGTTCATTTTCTCTGACCAAAATTCAGTCCAGCAATTCTTACGTGTGTGAGATAGCACCAATATATTCAGGATAGCCACTTGCACAGAGAAGAGTTGCAACACTAGGTATCCTTGTACTAGATACTTTCCAAGCGTCTCTTGCTCTCCCTGTAAACCACAGTAGTTACTACTCCTTGCTAAAAACCTAATAGCCAAGCACATTCTATTTATTCAGCAATAGAATTAGAAATAGCTTCCTGATTTCGGTTGGACATAGGGCTGGAACATTTTACATTAATTCCCTGGCTCACATTTTCCAGAAATTCTATTCAAACCACAGAAATGCCCCAACATTTGGAAGCCAAGTCTCCTATATGAGATGCAAAGAAAACTTGTTAAAGAGCAACAAAAAGGCACTTTCATAAAAATAAGGCACAGAACCCACAGGGTCAGGATAACCTCACAGGTCATCTAGTATAACCCCCAACTGGGAAGTGAGGCTTTGAACCTGCAACTTCTCTACTGCCAGGTCTATGTACTATCACTTGGGCTATTCTCCTGCACCCAAATACAAAACAGAATCAAACACAAAAAAATCAGTTGTTCAGTGTTAATGTTTTGTACAAAGCCTCCATAAGGAAATGTTACATATAACTAGCTACTTTTACAGTGTCATTGAACTAAAATCGCTTCTAAAGTAACCTATAGATTTTTTGGATCAAAACTCTAGAATATCCTCTTTTGTACTTCAACATGACAATGTTCCTTCCATGAAGGAACTGAAAGACAGCTTTTCTTTAACCCAATATAATATATGAGCAGTTTGGCAGGTAGCTGGTGTTATCCATTGACCCCTCAACACCATGTCACACTGAAGAGGAAATGTATACAGAATCAACTGGGAAGATGGGTAATAAAAGAAAGGAGTCTTACACTTTTTTTTTTCCTTCACACAAATCTCTTACAATATAGACTTAGCAGAACCTCCAAAACATATCAGATATCTCATAGGCTGAGACTTCACTTCCTCATACCCTTCTGACTGACTTTCACCTTTCAGTGCACTCTTTACCCAAGAACCCGGATTAATTCTGAAATTATGATTATAGCTTGTAGGTCAAAAGAATGCTGTTAGGTATTGCCCCAACACCCTGCTCCTACTCGCACACAAAATCCTCTCTCCTGAGATTAGTGGTGCTTTTCACCCAGGATAGCTGGCATGTCTGGGAATGTGGTTAGAGCCTGGGTCCCACCTTTTACCTATCATCTTGTCTAATGCTACAGTGAGGACATAAACTTTACTTCAGAAGGACTATTCAGCTATAAAGAGGCTGTAGTCTTCAAACAGATAATCTGCAGATACTGCACTTTAATTCCCTAAGAGTAAGAACACATCAGGTAATACTCACAGTCAGCAGCAGTAAAGTTGGGTAATGAATCATAGCTTTTTTCACTGTTCATTATATCCTTTAAAAACAGTAAGAAAAATAAAAATCTCACTTGAGGTAGGCAAGCTTGTGTGTGCATCTTTCCAACCCAAATCAAAAAGGTAAGAATTAGCCACTGGGGGAAGGACAGGGAAATGCAGCCTGACAAATTTGTTTGTTCTTCTGAAAGTTCTAAGTTCTTATTTGTACTCGAAGCCAGAAATTACACACCATTTCATGGTCAGATCTCAGACTTTTGTTGTAAAAGTCCCAGAAAAACCTGACGAGCAAATTACTGAGGTCTAACTGTTTACGGATTTTCAGTTTCAAAAATATGGGATTTTTCATTCCAGCTCCGGACGACAACAACAAAAAAAGGGGGGGGGCGGGGCTCGGAAGAAGAAAACTGTTTCCCTAACAGCTCTGGTTTTTACAAGGTTATCTGGAGGTTAGGCAACACAGGTACCAACACAGCCCTGCAGAAACTTTCCTTTATGCTACTCATGAGCAGAAGCTGCAAACCATAATGATCACAAGACTCTTGTAAGAAATAGGGGTGCACCAATACATCAGTCCATATTGTATCAGCACCAATACAAAGAAAATTGATAGGGGTGCACTGATAGAGATTTTTTGGGCCAATACCAAAGGCTGATTTTTAAGGAGCCATATCAGCCAATACCATTCCAATTCCAATATGCATCTGGGCAGCTTGGAGACCAGCATCAGGCTGGTAAGTCTTGTGAGGGAAGTGTGGGGGAGGGGGCAGATTGAGGCCCCTGCAGTAAGGGAGGGAGTGGGGCTGGGGGAGGCACTGCTCAGCCAGGGCAGGGTGAGGGACGGAGCTGTGAGTGGCTCATCTGAGGGGTGCGGGG